CCCCAATGATCTAATAACGATGCTGGGCACCATACAGACAAGTGTGTTTCACTTCTCTTCAAGTGCTTTCTGATCTCCAAGACTAGCAGAGGTGGAGAACCCCACAGAGGAGTGTGCACAGGATTCTCCCTGTGCCATAGCTGCTGCTCTCTGCCAGGCAGCCCCAGAGTCCTGGGTGACATCTTAAACCACATGTGCTGCAGTAAGTAGGCCAAAACTGGATCTAGGGCAGTCTGCACTGAAACTGGAGAGACAATTAAGCATTTGAATTTAAGAATTTGAAATGCAATAGCTGCCACCTGAATAGGCTCATTGGAACACAGCACTTGCAGTGGTTTAGTTTTGTGCAGTTGCATACAATATTCTGCACTCTTGATGCAAGCACACACCATCTGCTTCAGGCTGGGGAGGACATTCCCTGTAACAAGGATGATGTGCACAGTCAGTTTTAAGGTTTTGCTCACTTTCTTAAGGCCTGGTTTAGAATAAGATGCTGGAGGAGACTGCAGGATTTGCGTATCCCTTTTCCATTTGGAAATTACTACAGTCCAGACTATATGCATTGCTTTATCTACTGCTGCCATCCAAATGCAGATTGAGTTTAAACTGAAGCTCTCTGTACCTATACTTTTGTCCTGACTGCAGGCACTACTGCAAAGAGCGTTCTGTTGGAAGAGGACTGTAGGGTATGGATTATAATCATACTTAACATAGTGTTTTCCACATGGAATGTTAATACATGATATTTCAAATATTTTTTTTGGTGATGTAACATTTTAAAATTAAACCACTTTTAATCTAATTATCTTAATTTAATTCATCTTTAATGCCTTTTTTTTTTTTTGCATAAAGCTTAAAATTTTAATTAGAGTAACAAGCATGTTTTATGAAACACCTTCATTGAAAGTCTTGGACACTTTCCATTTGGGTCCCTCCAGACCCATCCAGTTTGAAAACGCACTGTTTTATCCTCTCCTTAATTGCAGTACTTGGAGAAACTCTCTGTTAACTGTTCTAAGTTCCACATGATAATGAGTCTAACAGAACTAGAGAGCATATGACACAGGAGGAAGCTTGCTGTTGCTTAGCTACCTATCTTTTTAATTTGGAATCTCCAGCAATTCGATAACGACTAGCCCTTAAGCTGCTAAATGTATTTGTTCATTTTGACACACTGTACTGTGTTACATGTGCGTTCCACCAGTGCGTACCTGCTATTATTGGAGGGATAAAGAGGGTGTTGACGTTATATTGTGTATATTGTAAACCCAAGCTATTACGTCTGTTACAAAAGCAGCACTTGGTGTATACTGAGTTCTGAGGTGGGAACCACAGCAATGAAATTCAGAGTAACTCGAGCCAACAGAGCTATTGCTTCTGCTCCTCCAGATCAGTCCCAAATACAAGAAGTTATGCATCATTTGTAAGTTCTGCAGTCTTTTAATAGAACACATTCTCACATCAGTTTAGGCATAATAGGATACATAATTAATTGCAAAGGAAAATACTGCAACACTTCACATTTTTTATCCCTTTAGCATTTCCTCTCAAGTGAGAAGATGCCCAGCTTTCAAAAATTACCTTTTGCAGAAATTCGCTGGAATAAGACGCTGAACTAGGGAATGTTCATAGGATAAATACGGAATTATTTGGGTTTTTTTTAGGAATCTGGGAAAGGCTTGATATTCACTAGTGCTTTCTGATCCATCCTGAACTTGGTGCAAAGGAACAGCTTATCTGGGGACTGTTTATGGCCGTAGAACTGGTATAAGCCTAGAAAGAAACTCTTTTTTTCTAAACCATTTTTCTGGTATGTGGATCTAAAAAGGAAATTTACTCATTTGCTCTTAAAGTGATTCTGTCTTGCTTTAATAGTTTTTCCCACTGGGAGAAATCTCTGTGACTCTTCCCCGCCTGTCTGCACAAAACAGTCAAAGCACTTTCTGCAGTAATGCAGTTAAGGCTTAGGTGTGTTCATAGAAGGGCATCATGCCTTGGCCTCTGACTTCATCACGCAACACTGCTGGCATTGCTGTGATGGCTGGGAGCACTGCCTGCTTCCTCGCTGACAGAAGTACACAGGCAGTGCTTTTGGTAGTGACACAGCTGTGCCAAGAGGAAAGAACTGTTGGGTCTGCCTTTACAGCAGTTCTGGCTGAAAGCTGTTTGCCAGCCTGTGTTACAAGCACAACTTGCTGACATAATTGATGGAAGCAGCAACTCCATTTTACACAGAGATGAGTTTGATTTGTAGGAGCAAAATGCAGCTTCTTGTAAAGGAGCTTCAGTGCTGTTTGCTGCTTGTGGAAGTGCCCAGCTGGACAGATCTGTTATTGATATTTTCTGTGTTATATTTGTCACAATTTTAGAAGGATGAATGTGTCAGTTTGACAACTGACTACATTTTTAATTCAGCAATGAACTTGGGAATTTATGATCAAGTTACTTTAAAGAAAATTCCCTATTTCAGCTTTTATAGTTATACTTTGTAGGCTTAGGTATGAATCTGTATTAATTCCGTTTTAGGTATTCAAAAGATTTTGATGTCTGTATGCCCCTAGTGGAAAATCCTGGCATATTTCAGTATAATTTTGTGCTCAGTTAACCTCACTATTGACTTAGAGATGTACAATAGGGTTACATCTCTTTGCCTTTTTACTGTGGTTTAGTATGTGTGTAGATTTCAGTCCTGGGTCTGTAAATCTTCCTGATGAAGGTAATTTATTTTAAAATTACAAAGTAATCTTAAAGGCTGTTGTGTAGCCTCGTGTATTTTTTGTCATTCCTTCATGTTTTTAAGTCTTCCCATTTTAACATTGCATCTTATGGCTTTAAACTCTATGCGTGTCCTTGATTTCCCAGTGCGGAGCCACCGCTGCACTGGCCTCCGTTTCCTTGTGGAATTCCACGGATGTTTCAGTATATGGCATGACAAAATGTAAAACCGTACTCATAGATCACCTTATAAATATTTATTCATATAAATTCTTTAAAGAAATTAAATTATGTGTTCTATACAAAATAGGAGAGAGAGGCTTTTAGTGTCACTGACTGCAAATTGAAGTCATTTGTCTAGAAGGGTCAGGTGCCACTTTGTGGTAAGGCATTTGTCTGAGATCCAAGAAAGGAAAGATTGATAGTACAAAGAGATGGATGAAACAGGCACTGCAAGAAGGATATGGGTTAATTAGGAGGATTTAAACACGAAAGTTCTTTTGTGGGGAAAAGTGTCGTGTTCTGTTACTTTCAGAAGCGAGGCATGCTGGCAGCCTTCTTGAACATGCAGAGTTGGTTTTCTCTGCTGATGTGGAGATGTGTGGTTGTGAGTATCAGCAAGGTGGCAGATTACCAACAGCACGTACGCTGATGATGAGTGATGATGATGAGTGCTGCTTAGGAGATTCTGGGGCTTGTGTATACACACACCATCTCTGCTGTTTCTTTGGTTTTGTTGTTGTTGATGTAAATTATAATGCTGGTTCTGTGATTCCTATATCAGAGGAAAATCATTAATATTTCAGACTGCCAGGTTCTTCGGATGTCTTGGGTGACATGGCTCTTTGTTATACTTTTTAATTACAAACATAGTACTTGAAGGAAAAATCCTAAAGCTAAACCTCTGTAGCTTAGAAAATAAGAGCAGAGCAATCAACGAACATTGTTTTCTTGTTGATAGGGAAGCTGTTCTGAAAGAACAGACGCTGTAAACTGTTCCTTATTGCATTGAAGTTCACCAGCCACCTGCTACATTTAGTGGAGGACAAGCAGCTCCCATACACAGATTCATGCAGAAATTGAAGGAGTACCATCTTTTGTAATAGTTATTTCACAGGGCAGAAAGGGAATTTTAAAATTGGCTGAAGTGCAACAAACCCAGAATACTCTCTGTGCCCCTTGTGTCTCATTCTATACAAGGACAAAATAGTGCAAATCTTTCAGCAGGGCAGGAATAAAAAGCTCAGCCAGCACCTCAGTATTCATTATTGTAATAGTAAATCACCTCTGTCTGCCTAGGAGATCTTTAAAACATACCTGCTGAGGGCAAGAGGAGGCACAGGCATGAGGGGCTGAGCTCTGTTTCTGAATATGGTAATTCTGACAGTTTTGTGGTGATGTTCTCAACTAAAATTCTGCATTCATGTAGCTGCACCTTATTCTTAGCTCCAGGGACAGACAGTGGGGCACATAGCAGCTCTTACCTTCTGCAATGCATTTCTCACTGGATATGGAGTATCTGAGAATTTCTTTAAAGAGGAGGAAGAGGACAGGCAAGTTTTATCTTGTCTTACTGCTAAGTGTGATATAGAAAGGCCCTAACAAATTGCAGTGTATTGCTTTTCACTGAATTCATCTTCAGTTGAATTGTTGAAGGGACAGGTATTTGGACTGAAGAATATATTTCTACATGAAGAAAAGGCAGTTAGTCTCAATGAGGCCCCTGGGAAATGTGATTGACATTAAAAACAATCCCGTTTTGTTTTATTATATTCCTGCAGTAACGAATCTTAGCTTCTCATGTGGTTAGATAGCTGTTTTTTTCATATAATTCTGAGTACAAAAGAAGCAATAAAAAACATTCTAAGTATTGGAAAAACAGCACTCTCTTTTCTCTGTCACATTTTCACTTATAGGAACTGTTTTTCGTATGGCATTTTTTTCTTGTATTAACATGAGGCCAGATACAAGAAACTCAGTCCAAACAAATAAGTTTGAGCATGTCCCACAATACTGATCAAAGTGCACTTTCAGAGCGGTGTCTCAGGCATAGTTCTGGTTGTCTTTTTGTGGTACTTAACCTCCCTCCTTGAGTGGCAGCTCACCTCCTGCCCAGCTTTGCCACCACATCAAGAAGAAAGCTGCCTCTGCTTCAGGAAGAAATACAGCTTACTGGTATTTTCGCTACTGCAAGGGCATTTTTTTATTTGCACTTATTAACACAGTGCCTGTTTGATGTGAAAACTAAGTATGAATTCTTTGTTTTTCTCTTTTCTTTTTTTCAGAAACCAAAACAAAAGGATTGGCATCCTCCTGGAGGATTTATTTTAGGACTCTGGGCCCTGATCATCATAGTTTTCTTCAAAACGTATGGAATCAAGCACATGAAACACGTCTTCTGAATTCAAGCAAACAAGATGATTGCATTGACTGCTATGTTGGATTCATTGGTGTCACCTGAGTTCCATGTACATGTGTTATGGCTGGAGTGAAAAACAGTGTTGAGATATTTCTTCTAAAAGTTGTTTTGGAGTCATGTGTTCCGCGCTTTCTTCTGCAAAGAGTCTGCCAAATGATTTTAATGTTACTGGTCAGAGACACCATTTTATGTTGTCTTGTTTAAAACTTATTTTAATGCTTTTCTGAGCAATTTTTCTTTCTGAATAAACTTAAAGAGGACAGACCTAAACCAACTAACAGAATTTCTGAGGCTGTGAATTGTAAATGGGCAAATTTTCTCCCCTGTATAACAAAGTAAATCTTAGAAGTAGTCAACCTACCATTAAAGAACTAGGCATTGCACAGAATATTATTTAAGGTGTCATTTTATCAGTGTCAAGCCATTTTGCAGGCTCCGGCATGATGTATTGAGAGCTTTCTTCACAAAAATAAACATACCCTAGAATATATGGATTTTATTTTTTTTTTCTTTCTTCTTCCCTGTTAAATACAACCTTTAGATCAGTCCTCTCACCTCAGGCAGTTTTGAGTCTAGGATTCTATGACTTGGTGAAAGTGAAACAAAAATATATGATGAGCTCACTGAATTAACTTCAAAACATGCTCCAAAAAAGTGAAACTGACTTCACCGTGTCCATGAGGAACCCTTCCTAGGTGTGGGATTTTTCACTGCATACAATATGGACTTGGATAATTTCGGGATCTTCAGTGCATTGGTTTTGTTGCAGAGAACAAGAAAATCTACTCTGGCATCAGAATGAAAAATGTTATAAATTGTTCTGTTTTTCTGAGCTCTTGGAAAACGAGCTTCATCGCCTAGGTTTTGTAAATCCTGTTTTGGCATACTGATTTGTTCTTGGGTTTTTACTGATGAATGTATGCTAAAAGGGTTTTGTCTGTATAATGCACTGATACTAGCAAAGAGAAGGGCAAATTGTGCATGTATAGAAACAAGTCTGCCAGCAAGGATCGCTTTTGCAGTATGCTTTTGGAACCTGTTCTCTAGTTAATCATAATAAAGCTTACATGATACATACATAGTGTAAATGCTAGATACAGCTCTCTAAAAGTTATTAGGAAATATTTATAATCACACATAATATTAGAGCCAATATGTTTCTCTTAGAATATGGTGTTGAGCATTTTCATGTTGCACAGAACAGGCAAATCTGAGAGCATAAACATTTTTGTTGTCCTTTTTTCTTCTCTTTCAGGTTTGTTGTGGCATCGTGTCCTCAGGTCAGGGGTAGCAAACTTGTCAGAGCTGTGTAGGTGCTCACTGGGGGGGGCGGTGCAGAGGAGGCAGCCATGGAGACTCCCAGCTGCATCCAAGGGCTGATTGCCAGAGAACAATGAAAACAGCAGTGCAGTACAGCTCTTGAGTACTGAAACCTTATTCTTTTTCTCCATGCTCCATCTAGGCTTGGAGAGGATAAAAGTACAAAATGATCTGTATCAGGATGTAAACACTCACCTGCTGCACCTTTGTTGTGCCTTTTGGTGAACAGCAGCAATTGTTTTCAGTAGCTCATGCTAAGCATCAAGAATAGGAATTAATTTGCATTTAAACCAAAAGATTTTCTACACCCCTGTCCTTATAGTTCTGCAAACTGATACTCTGTGCTGAATAATATTAGAGGCTTCTTCCCAGTTTGCTGATGAGCAGTTTTTATATAACTGTTGCACAGGTACCCCCTGCCAACAGCAATGCAGCTTCCTGTGAAAGATGAAAGCTCTAGTTGCTGGGAGTGATGGATGGGCCTGAGCAGCATTTCAAGTGTTGGAGCTTGGATCTCTACACAGTGTATGGGGTTTGGGGTTGGTGCTTTGGATAGCACCTTTCATAATCAATGACTTTCTATCCAAAACCTGATGCAACGGTGACATTTCTGAAATTCAGAACACATTCCTCCCCCTCCCTCCAGCTATTTCTAATGCAACAATCGACTAAGATCTGTTGTAGACAGACTATATAGAAATGCAGATAGACACTATAGAAATGTGTAGACCCAGTACAGAAATGAATCCTACAGAATTTGTGAGAGGCTTTGCTTAGCTTTCATTTTTTAATCCAGCCTTTGATACTCTTTTTCAATCGTAATGAATATTTTTTAATCAAATATTTATTCTATAGGCAAGTTTTGTCACACTTTAAAAAGTGGTTAAAGTGAAGCTGATAGAGCTTTGTGCCTTGCTTCAGTTGCAATTACACTTCTCAGGCTCCTCAGGCCTTATTCAATTTTTCTCTTTCCCTCTTTCAGCCACCTTTTGCAGGAAGCAATAGATAGAAGCATCTACAGAACTCAGCTGAATTTTGCAAGTAGCAGAGGATGCCAAAGATGCTGTCTTCTTAAAAGCTTATTTGCTGGGGGAGAAGGAGGCAATTAGGTGGGTTATTAAAATGCAATTTATGAATAGAAGCACTCAGTAAGTGTGCCTGTGAAGGTGATTAAATTGAAGTGAGAACAACAGTTTGACTGGAATGCAGCAAAGTGTGCTTCAGGCAGTTTCAATGTTTTTCTGTGCAGAGTGGGGAGCTTAAATAGATCGTTCTCAGAATCACCATAAAGTTGCCTGTGATAGACTTATAAGACGGTATTTTCCATACTGTGATAACTTTTATTCCTTGAATAGTTATAGCCTGAAAGCAAGTATAGACATGTCACAGAATTGTTTATAAATGTGTTTTGTACAATTATTTCTTTATTTATTTAAACCTTGTAATCTTTTAATTTTCCCTGAAAGCCCTTCAAACTTAGTTTGGGATCTGGGCTCCAGGAACCAGCCAGGTCATTCTCACTTACAAACCATTTGTGTTTTGCAGGCTAGACAATGTGCTTATGCAATAGAAACGCTTCCTCCATTGCGCACAGATGATCTTTGTAATGGAATCCAGCAAACAAGCCAGATGGCAGTTTCTTGATGTTTCTTTGCATAGAAACTTTTAGAGCAAAGTGAGATGTCAGCATTTTGTGAGTCTCCATAGATAGATTTGTGAACCAAGCATGCCTGGGCTCGCAAGATTTCTTACATTCATGTCTGCACAATGTAACTACATTGACAGGTCTTGCAGTGTCATAGGTATTGTTTAGAATACTCATGGATGATAAGCATGTAAGTTGTTTCATTTCATTTCAGCTTTTTCAGGATCCCGTATTGAAAGGTGTTACTATTTTTGAACTGAAGAAATGGTAAGTTAACAGTAGGGTGATATTCACATACACATTCTGTCATGTCTGCATTTGATTTCTGAACTCTATGAAACGCTGTATACATTTGAGGATGCTGTTCTGAATGACAAATGTATGACCATGCCCAAACGTTTACATGAATGTATGACTCTAAGCTACACTTTTGTAACTCAACAGTGAGATTTCCACAAAATCAGTGGAGAAAGAAGCCAGAGCCATGAACAGACAGCATTTTGTTGGTCTATGCCAGCAGAATCTTTCTGTGTCTGTGTGGCTGTCACCATGAAATGCTGTCATCTTAGCATAAGAAAAGAACATGGGATGTTCAAAAGCCTCTTTATCATTAATGATAGCACCTCTTCCAGAGAGGGGACTCTGAGAGTTTGTGGGTTTTTGGCGGTTGTTTTTTGCCCCCAAAGCTGGTCTTCATTATTGGTTACAGAAAAGCAAATATAGTCTGGTTCCAATTCCATTGTAGGGTGTCTGCAAATCCCCTGCAAATCAAGCCTGTTCCCATCTCACGTTTCAGCAGTCAGGGATTTCCATTCTCTGGTACCGCATGCACAAATGTACTGGATGTGAATGGATCTCGTGGACTTAATGCCTTCAGGTGGACATTGCTGCATGGTAAAGCAGGGCTGAGTTGACATAGTACTAAATCAGTGATTTGTGAAGGAGGAAAGACTAGATTCAGCTGTAAATTTATCATAGATGGAGAGGATTTGCAAAGTGGCAAGGATAGGGAGGGGTTGTGCTGTATTCCTGTAAGAGAGGTTTGAAGGACTGACCCTCTGAGGCAGACAAGTGAAGTCTGCAACCCTGGCAATCCCGATACTGCAGCATAGCATGCAGGGGTTGTTACAAAGCTCAAGAGCTTCTTCTCTGATGGTTACTTAGAGGGAAGGAGTTAAGTTTCTGGTCTAAAGATTTCCAAAACCTGACCTAATTACTCCTTCAGTATAGATGGGGAAATGAGATACTGCCAGTTGCTGGTAATTAGATTTGATCCAGTGCTTTATTGTGTTGTGCACTGAAAAGCTTCTACAAATTCAGGGTCGTTTGGACTTCATAAGAGTGGGTGAAGTGGAAGGCAGTTCATGAAGTGGGAATGGTACATTTTACAGAGATCATGGCATTTGGAGACAAGGCATTTGTATATGGTACAATCTGGGGGTAAAGATTGGGCATAGCAGAAAACTCAGCATGCCTGTGTATAGACCCAGCTGTCATACAGCACTGTGTGATCTGGTAGAATTTTACCATGCTTCAGACTAATCCACCTTTGGACTGAGGACAGGCATAAAATATTTCACCCAAGAGACTAATCTCTCCATTAAGTGATGAGCTACAGAAAATAGGAGTGTGTATAATGAAAGTGCCTTCTCAACCATCGAGCTCTATTCCGCTGGAATATGAAGACTGAATTGAGGCGGTGCTGATGGAGTGGAAAGTTGTGGCTTAGTTGCAGTGGCTGTCCTGCAGAAGTTTTCAGTATTCTACAAATTGATTGCATGTGCCACAGAAACTTTTTAGCATGCACTTCAACACTTCTGTACAATAATGAGCATAAGTTGTTTTGCATTTTTTAAGTTGTACAAGGCAAATTTAAACCCAAAACAAAAACCCACAAGAGAAATGTGTTTCTCTTGGAAGATATCCTCTGCTTTGTGCACTCCACTGTTCTTTCTGCTTTTCTTTTTTCTGTGAGCTTTCAAAAATAATATGCTGTGGGGAAATGCATCTTGGACGTGTGGGTGCTTTATGATGGAAACTAACACTGAAATCAGCATTTCATAGCAAGTTCTTTAAAATGAGTTACTTTTTCTCCCTTAATGAGGCTTTCTGCCTGATTTAGTGATTAAATTGATAGCATTTAAGGTTTTGGTTCAGAGTTTGTGAAGACGTACGTCTGTTAATGTTTGTGCCATGTCTTCTTCCCCATGCAAATAGTAAGAACTAACTTTTTTTTTTTCCCTTTAATGTATATGCACAAAGAACACTGAAGCCTTGTCCAAAACTGAGCCAGGTTTGCTGCTGTGGCCAGCAGGCTGAATAAAGATGTGAAGTATATCATCAGTGGAAGTTACTTCGGTGGCATCACTTAAAGCAATCCATTGATCAGAATAAGCTATAGCAGGAACAGACTATTTTGAGTGTCACAGCAGTGCTGGCAAAGCTCCAGCTTAGTTGCTATTTCTTTTGAAGCAGGTTTTTTTTACACTGCTGACCACTACATCGCTCTGGCGAAAGCTCTGCAGAGACCAGGCCACTGGGCTCTGGTTTATTTGGGTGATTCATGGCATGTCATGCTAGTTCCTATGTCACTGTTGACTAATTTGAAATAGCAATTACATTTCCTTTCTTGCCTGCCCCAGGACTGACTGGAAGCATGCTGTCATGTGTTAAATGCATGACTTGATCCACTGGTTTTGCGTGCAGTGAGCATTTAAAGCTTAGGCTTTGTCCTTATATCCTGTTCCACTACAATGGTGCTTATTTCCTTCGTCAAATGCTTTTTACCAGTGAAGAGTGTCACTAAGAATTAGATAGAGCTGTTTGGTTTTTGTTAAGTTTTCTGTACTGGTTTTCCTGTGCAAGTTTGTGGCTCAAAATATCATGACTCAGACTGTGATGATTTTAGGGTCCCCTTACCCCCTCAAGTCTTTACAGTGCAAATGGAATGACAAATGGACATCAGTGTATCACTGCAATGCATGTTTGTGTTCTGTACAAATCTTTTATGTCCCCTTCTCTGCATTTGTCCCTACCTTTGAAGTCTTGTTTGTATAGGTTTTCTGCCCATGCTTTTGTTGCTCATTTTTGTATAGCTGTTCCATCTCTTGCA